ACTCTATGGCAGTTATCTTGGGGATGGACATAGGCGTCTTTGACTTTCTTTTTGATTTTAAGTCAGATTTGCAAAATTGTATTTGTGTGTTCCTCACCAGTGTTTGTTAGGCATATTCCATTCCTAGCATTGGAGCCTGTCATTCCTGTATTTTAGGCCACAGTCCAGAAATCTAAATCCCATTCTCAAATAACATCCTCTTAGTCACTTTCCAAATTTTCCTTTCTCTTCTGAATCCCATGCCTTTAATAGGCAGTGGTTATGATACTGAGGCTTCCTAGATATATACACAGAAGAAAGCAGAACTCTTTATTGTTGTTATTAGGTTAACAAATGGTTGTGCCAGTACCCTTCTGCAGAGAATCACCAACTAGCACTTTTCATCTCTTCTTCTTGTTGAATAATGCCTCTCTAGCAATACTTTTAAATCCATATTATCATCTCTGGGAGGATACGAAACTGCTACAGGAAGCTGTAATTTTTGCATTTTAAAATACAATAAAACTTTCAATTAAAAATGTAAAGATCATTCTTATCTCATGGACCTCCAGCCCATGCGTAGTTTGTTGATCCTTGAATAAAAATGAGACCTCTTTTTATAACTTTAGCAATAGTGAACACTTAATACTTTTTCATTTATTCATTCCTTCATTTTGTTCTCCATAATAAATTGTAGAGAGAGAGACTGTTATTCTGTATTCCTGGCATAGTTGATAAAGCATTGGACTTGGGAATCAGTGAGACCTGGTTTAAATCCATTTACCCTTAGTGTGTGATCCTGGGCAAGTCACTTTCAGTGTCACTTTCTTTATCTGTAAGATAAAACTAGTAATATCACCTGCCTCATAGGGCCATTGTAAAGATCGATTGAGATAATATATGAATCATTTTGCAAATCTTAGCTATGTAAATTTTAGCTGTTTTTTTGTTGTTGTTACTACCTTTACATTCTCTTCTAGGAGGGAGAAGTATATATCACATTTGTGTAGCTCTGACAGAAATACAGACATTGCACACAACATTAGTGACTGCCCAATTTACCTTGCTTTCCATACTTAATAAAAATTCAATTCAGTAAATATTTATTAAGTAACTACTGTGAGCCTGGCACTGTGCTAAGCACTAGAGGTACAAAAATATGCAAAAGACAGTCCTTGCCCTCCAAGAACTTGTAGTCTAATGGGGGAGACAACATGCAAACAAATATATACAAAGCAAGCTATTTCCAGCATAAGTAAGAAATAATTAAAAAAAGAGAATGCACTGTAATTCAGAGAGGTAAGTCTTCTTATTGAGATTTGAGATTTGAAAGGAAGCTAGCAAGGTCAGTAGTTGGAGTAAAGGAGGGAGAGTACTCCAGGCTTGGGGGGTAGCCAGAGGAAATGCCTGCAGCCAAGAAATGGAGGATATTGTTTGTGAAGCAGCCAGAAGGTCAGTATTACTGGCTCTATGAGCATGTGTTGGGGAGTAAGGTATAAGAAGACTGGAAAAGTGGGAGGGGCCTAGGTTATGAAGGATTTTGAATGCGAAACAGGGCATTTTATATTTACTCCTGGAGGTGATAGGGAGCCACTGGAGTAGAGTCACATTATCAGACCTGCGTGTTAGGAAATCACTTTGGTGGTTGAATAGAGAATTGATTGGAGTGGGGAGAGACTGGAGGCAGGCAGACCCACCAGCAAGGTACTGTAATAATCCAGGTATGAGGTGATGGAGGCCTACATTAGAGTCTTGGCAGTGTCAGAGTAGACAAGGGGATATATTTGAGAGATATTGCGAAGGTGAAATTAGTAGGTCTTGCCAATAGCTTGGATATGAGGGGGTGAGAGATAATGAGGAATCCAGGATGACCTCTTGGTAGCAAACCTGAGGAACTAGGAGGATGGCATTGCCCCTTATAGTAATAGGGAAGGTAGGAGGTGAAGAAGGTTTAGGGGGTAAGATTAGTGAGTTCTATTTTGTACATATTGACTTTAAGATATCTACTAGATGTCGAGGTATCTAAAAGGCAGTTGGAGATGTGAGATTAGAGGTCAGGAGACAGATTAGGCAGGAAAGCTAGATTCAAGTACCATCTACATAAAGATGGTAATTAAATCCATGAGAGCTAATGAGATCACCAAATGAAGTAGTATAGAGGGAGAAGAGGAGAGAGGCCAGGAAAGAACCCTGAGGGACACCTAGAGTTAGAAGGCATTATCTGCAGCAGGACCCAGCAAAGGAGACAGAGAAGGAGAGGTCAGATAGGTAGAAAGAAAACCAAGAAATAATGATGTCCCAAAAACCTAGAGGGAAGAGAGGATCAAGGAGGAGAAAGTGATTAATAGTGTCAGAAGCCACAGAGAGGCCAAGGAGAATGAGGATAGAAAAAAATCCATTGGATTTGGCAATTAGGAGTTCATTAATCATTTTGGAGAGAGCAATTTCAGTGGAATGATAAAGTCAGGAGCCAAATTGTAAAGAGTTGAGAAGAGAATGAGAGGAGAAAAAGTGGAGGCACCTGTTGTAGATAGCCCTTTTGAGAAGTTTGTCTCCAAAGGGCAGAAAAGAAATAGGATGATAGTGGGGATGGAAGGATCAAGTGAGGGTTTTTTCAGGATGGGGAGTCAAAGGCGTGTTTGTAGGAAGTAGGCAATGAGGCAGAGAGAAATTGAAAATTAGTGAAAAAGTGGAAATGACAGAGAGGGGGCAATCTATTGGATGAGACTAAATTGAATGGGATCACTTGAACAAGCAGAGGTAAAAAGTGGTAAGGAGTGAGGTCATTTCATCAGGTGAAATAGGGATGAAAAAGAAGAAAGTGATAGAAAGTATCTCAGTGATAGGAGATGAGAAAGAGGGGAGAAGAGAGAGTTCATGGCTAATGGCCTCAGTTTTTTCTGAAAATATCAGACAAAGTTCTCTGCTGAGAGAATGGGAGAAGAGGAGCCATGAAAGGTTTGAAAAAGGATGAAAAAGTTTTTAAGAGCCCTTGTGGAGAGTAGGATAGTGACTTGATAAAAGATGTATAGTAGAATTGCCTAGCATCAATAAGAGCCCAGTTGAAGTTGTATAACAAATTTGTAGCAGACCCAGTTGTGTGATTTTTCTACACCTTTGTTCAGGAGTGCATGTATAGGCGCAAAAATGATGGTGGGAGTGATCTAAATCTGAAACTTGTCTGGGTATAATCACCAATATGATTAGAGGGCTAGGGATTCAAGAGAGGAGTACAGTGTACACTTGAATTGGTTCATCAAGGAGTCAGGTTTAGGAAGAAGAGGGGAGAGTGTCTAGTGTAGGAGAGATGGCCTGGGAGAGAATTGAGGGATCAAGGGATTGGAGGTCATGGGGCAGAGGAAGTATAGAGTTAGGTAAAGGAAAGCAGAGGGAGAGGTGGAAAGCCAATAGATAATGACTGGATAAGGGGATTTCAGAATTCTTGAACGTGGAGGTGTACATTTGTGGGTGCTGGCAAGATCAAGACCATTTTTCTGCGTAGCAGAGATGAGGTGGAGGAATAGCACATGGGAGGAGAGTACATTGAGGAACTGAGTGGAAATTAAACCAGTCCTTGTCTTTCTCTCCAGTAGTTCCTTTGGAGAAACCAATTTTAAAATTGTCACTCTCTTCAACAAACTGTTAAATATATCCAACTTTTTTTACCTTTCTTTAGTCACCTCTTATCTTGTGTTAGCAAATAACTTTTCCCTCTTGTTTCCTTATCTTCCTCTTACTTCTCATTCTCTTCATTGAGTCCTTTCCTTCACCTTTTTCAGGTACCATGGCTTTAATCAATAATAGCTCATCATAGACAAACATTTTTTTTTCTGACAGGATTACTAAACCAGTTGATGGGGAGGGAGGGAAGCTAGGAACATAGTTTATTTAGATTTTAGAAAAGCTTTCGATCAAGGATCTAATTTGCTTCTTGTGGAGAAGATGGAGAAATATGGACTAGACAGTAATAAAATTCAGAACTGGTTAGATGGCCAGATTTAAGGCATAACGGTTACTGGTTCAGTGTCAATGAAGTAGGAATTTTCTAGAGGAGTACCCCAAGAATCTGTGATCGGCCCCATGCTGTTTAATATTTTTTATCAATGACGTGGATAAAGTTGGCATATTTTTCTTGGATCACATCTCATCTGATCTGTATTATGTTGATCATTGTGTTCAGTTCTGAGTGCCACAGATAAAGGATGCTGATAAGCTAGACAGGGAAGGGCCTTCAGACCTTGTCACGTGAAAATCAGTTGAAGGAACTAGAGATTCTTAGTGTGGAGAAGAAAATACCTAGAGTGAACAAAATAGCTGCTTCAAGAATTTGAAGGATTGTCGTGGTGACCAGGGATTAGGCTTGTAACTCAACTATTTCAGGAAAACTGACTTTCCTCAACTCTAAAATGGGAATAATAATAGCACCTACCTTGCAAGGTTGTTGTGAGGAACAAATGAAATCATATTTGTAAAAGTGCTTGTTAACACAGTGCCGGTCTATAAGAAAATCTACCTCCTGTTCCATTTAGTGCCAGAGGGCAGAAGCAAGAGCAGCAGGTGGAAGGACAAAGAAGCAAATTTAGACTGACACAAAATCATTCTTACCCCACCCATAGGGCTGCCTCGAGAAGCAGTGGGCTCCCTGTCCTTGAATGGTTTTAAGCAGCTTGGACAGCCACTTGTTAGGCATATTATTGTCTAGCTTGCTTGCATTAGCTGGCTACCTAGTTCCCTGTCAACTCTCAAATTCTGCAATTTGACAACTTAATCCTTAACCTTATATAACTTGAGTGATCACTGACACTTTAACCTTTCCTCATTTATCTTACTTTCTAGCATTTCTACATTCTCAGGCATTCCATATTTTTAAGAGAAGCTGAATACCTTTTATTCAGTGTCTGTGAAATTCAGAATATGAAGGTAGTTATTCCTGGAGGACCATAATAAAAATGGAATATAAATTATATGATTAAAATTATGTGTGGTGTTTTTTTGTTTTTTTTTTTTTTTAAATTCTACAGATAGCAGTGAATGCCTTGCTGATGACTGCAGTATAATTGCTGGTGGAAATCTCATAGGTTGGCATCCAGATTCTGCTGCTGTGCTATGGAGAAGAATCTTGGGAATCCTTGGAGATGTTAATAATATCCAGTCACCCAAAATCCATGCCAAAGTTTTTGGCTATCTCTATGAACTCTGGTATAAGCTAGCAAAGGTATTCTTTTTGATTTTACTTTTTCTCTAATATAGTACAATTTATTTACTATTAAAATGTTGCAGTTTGCTCTATTCAGGATATAACTTAGAAGTTTGAGTATATTTTGTGCTTATTGTGAAAACCAAATAAAAATTAAATATAAATTTCAGTCTTAAAACATGAGAATTTTTCTTATATAATGGTTTTATTTTTATTTTGTTTTCTTAAGAAATGACCTGATAGAATTTAGGTAGGAGCATGTTGAAATTCATAAGTAATTTGTGTGACTTTTATAATAGACCAGCTACCAAATACGGATTCATTCATTCTTTTGTAAGTATCCAAAAATAGTGAATTAAAATTGAGTTGAAAATGATTTCATTTCTTTATGTTAGTGCCAGTCCACTTATGTAAAGACAAAGATATAATTCTCGGAGGTTATTATTGGGGAAAAAGCTAGAAAAAATATTTATAGAATGTATTTTCTTGTTTATCCTTATAAAAATCAGGTAAGACTTTTGAGCAAACATTTTTCTGTCTTGTAATATATTTTTATGGCACTATATAATAAGCCCTCTAATAACTGTTCTTTCTGTTTAGATACGGGATAACCTAGCAATAAGTTTGGATAACCAGACTTCTCCATCTCCTCCTGTCTTGATCCCACCACTCCGAATGTTTGCATCATGGCTATTTAAGGTAAATTAATGAGTTTTTCGCCTTAAATTTTAAAAATTATTTATGATTTTTGTTTTTTACATCACCTACATCCCAATGTAACCCTTCCCTCCTGTCTTCCCTACAACAGAGGAAAAAGTGATAGAAAAAAATTCCAGCAAACTATATAAGTTGTTAGTATAAAGAAATTAGTATAGGATATTAAGATTCACTGTCAATGTATAGAATTTTATTGCAATATTGAAGTACTGAATTGGGCAATCGTAAAAATTACTTGTTTTTTTCAGGCTGTTACATTGCCAAATGAATATAAAGAAGGTAAACTACAAGCATACAGGCTAATCTGTGCTATGATGACCAGACGCCAAGATGTTTTGCCAAACTCTGATTTCCTAGTGCATTTTTATCTTGTTATGCACATTGGCTTAACTAGTGAAGATCAGGTATGTTCTTTGTTCCCTAATTTATTCATAATTGTCATTTCAAATGCATATCAGTCTTAAGAAACATGATAGTTTGGATGAAAATAATTTAAGAATTGGAAATGCAGAAGGAAGATTTGAATGATTTTTTTAAAAGACAGAACATGGGTTTCAAAGGGTACTTCTGTTACATTTGTTTCCCGAATATTTCTGTATTTTTTTGGAGTGACTTCTAATTTATTTTATTTATTCTTTATATTTAAAAAATGGCAATGATAAACTAGTTTTTAGTTCACATTATTTGAAAAATTATATAGTAAAATATGGCCTTTTTAAATATCAGAATTAGAGTAATCCTTAAAAGTAGGCCTATACGTCTTATTTAAATCCTGTCAGGATAGTGTATGAAATTTGTAGTTGTAGGAACATTTCTCTTCTTGATGTAGAATAGGCTTTTGAGATGGTTTTTAGAGAAAGAGAAGGTTGTGTCTGTAATCTAGGACATTTGACAATATTTCATGTTTTAATGACTGATAGTCCATTGAAATGGCCATCATAATTCTAATAAAGTTGATAAGAAGTTACTTCAGAAGAATATGCTGTCTTTGGAAAGTATCCACACTTGTAAAACTAAGGCCTCAGTTTTTTCTTATGGGAACCTATTTGTGATTTCCCCAAATTCTTATAATTATTGATTTTGGAGGGTGGGCAAGGGAAAGTGTGGCAACTGGCTACATTCTCCCTTCTCCAGAGGACTTCTCACAAGGTGAGAGCAAGAGAACATGACACCAGCAACTGTCCAAAGTCCCTTCTCTACTGAGTTTCCAGTGGTCATGAAAGACATGGTTGTGTCAATTTGCATATTCCAAAATTGCACAGCTAAAACATAATGAAGGCTTATAGAGAAACAGGTGGTGCAAGGAAAACCTGTTAGCTACCACTATGCTTTTTCTTTTCATCTGCAGCACTTAGCACAGTGTCTATCTTGTAGCAGTTAGTTAATATGTATCTGTTGATTGATTGTCTTAATTAAATAGATTAGAGGGAATACCATTTGAGGTGCCCTCTCATGATTTTTGTATTTATTTAAAATTTTACTTTAGCATTCTTTTAGATAAATGAATCTACATTTGTAAATAAACTGGAAGTACTTTACCAGGATTTTCTTATTAATACAGTATGCCCAGAGATTTCAATATCTCTATACTTGTTGAAAGCAGTTTTTCTACATGAAGTATAGGTACAAAATTGACAGCTCCATAGGATCCTGAATTTGGAACTCTTAGTGTCTATTGAACTGATCATTGTTATAGAGGTGGAAAGGGGGACCTTAAAGGTCATCTGGTCTAACCCCTAGGTTTGAGAATTAGTCTAATGTTGATATTTAAAAAAGGCCATATTTTACTATAGAATTTTTCAAACAATGTGAACTAAAATCCCATTTACCATTGCCATTTTTAAAATATAAAGCATATACAATATATTTAAATATAAAGAATATAAAGAAATTAGAAATCACTCCAAAAAAATGCAGAAGTATTTCAGTAAACAAATGTAACAGAAGCACCCCTGCAAATCCTAACCCTGTTCTTCTTCCTCACTGTGATCTCCACTCCCTTCAAACCTCAGTTCTTTCTTAGAATATGGCTGGCTACATTCTCCTTCCTTTCCCGTTTTGACCCCTTGGTGAACCGATTTAAAAAACTGAAGATTAGTGACAGATCAAGGATAACAGAGGTGGCAATCTTCTGGAGAACCCAGGATGGAATAGGATCATTTGTACATGCAGAGAATTTAGAATAGCAAGACGAGCCACCTCTTTCTGTGAGACACGGTTCATGAAGGAGACAGTGAGGAAAGTGTCTGCATGATGTAAGATGAGGAAGAGTATAGAGGAAACTCTTAGCAAATGGCCTCAATTTTTTTCAGTAAGATAAGGAGCTAGATCTTCAGCTGTGAAAGGGTGGGGACAGAGAAGCCACGGAACGATCCAGGAAAAATGAAAAAGGTTTTCAAAAGCCTTCGTTGAGTGGGATACTGAAATGATTAGGGAAATGTAAAAGGATTGCCCTTTCTTGTGAGATCTCTGTTGAGCTTATGTAACAAAACAAAAACTCCAGTTTTCTTAAGCAGCACATAGGTGGTAAAGTGTATAGAGTGCTGGGCCTAAAGTCAGGAAGACTCATTTTCCTAAGTTCAGATCTGGTCTCATACACTTACCATCTGTGCTGTGTGACCCTGGGCAAATCACTTAACCCTGTTTGCCTCACTTTCCTCCTCTGTAAAATGAACTGGAGAAGGACATGGCAAACCCCTTCAGTGTCTTTGCCAAGAAATCTCCCAAAGGGGTCACAACGACTCAGCACTACTGAAATGACTAAACAGCAGCAGCAGCAGCAGCAACAACAATAGAAATAGGAGCAAAAGTAGTGAATTGTAGGAGTAATCCAGGGCTGCACATGAGGTAGGGGCAAGGGACTCAAGAAAAGAAGATGGTATTACTTACACAAGACTCTCCATCTCCTCACTCAAGGCATTTTCATGGCCTCTGTACCATACTGAGAATTCTCTCCCCCCCCATTTTCATCTACTGACTTTCCTTATTTCCTTCAGGTCCTAGCTAAAAACCCACCTCCTGCAAGAAGCCTTTCTCAATCCCTTTAATGGTAGTGTCTTTCCTCTAACATTTTCTCACATTTTTTTGTTTCTACCTTTTTTGTACACAATTGTTTCCATGGTTTCTTACCCTTTAGACTGTGATCTCCTTGAGTGCATGTTCTGTTTTTTGACTTTATGTCTTTAGCACTTTGCACAACGCCTCTTGCCTATTAGGTGCTTAACAAATTTTTTTAAATAATTAAATTTTTAATAAATGCTTATTGATTTGACTCAACTCCACCAAAAGAGTATTAGGGAGCTTTCTTTCTAAGACAAACGCTTCTAACATTTATAATTATTATCCTTGTCAGCTCTTTATATCTATGATAATATTATCTTTTATTTTGTTTCCTGTGTGAAAATCATTGGCAATATGCTATAGCCTTTTTATGTCTACCAGATGCCTCTCCATGGCTTTTTTAGGTGACTTGCAGTTTTTATTCTTCAGATATTGGAGTATCCCGTGATTTTCAGCCCTGTAATAACACAAGAAAAATATTGCTATTTAAAAGATGACTTTTTCTTGAGGTCAATGAAAGCACTATGTGATTAAAGGGAAGGGGGGAGACTGCATCTCCCAATTTTGCCCAGGCTGGAAGTACAGAGGTCACTGGCTACCTTGATCCCAATACTTATTGACACAGAAACTTTAACCTACTCTGTACAATCTCAGCTGCTTACCATCTTGACTTAGTGGGGTCTACTGTAATCCTACTGCAGCTCAGAACTCCCAAGCTTAAACAGTTCCACCAGCCTCAGCCTCCTTCCTAGCAGTAGGGACTATAGGGGTGTACCACCAAGCCCAGCCTATATTAGGTAATTCCTCATTCGTTTCTGGGTCCAACATGTCTGCTTTTCCAAGTTAAATGAACTGATGGACAAATTTAGATGGCTTTAATTCCTTCCATTGCTTCTCTGTCCCCACCCTCTCACTGCTGAAGACCTAGCTTCTTATCTTGCTAAAAAAATTGAGGCCATTTGCTAAGAGTTCCCTCTGTACTCTTCCTCATCTTACATCATGCAGACACTTTCCCCACCGTCTCCTCCTTCACGAACCTTGTCTCACAGGAAGAGGTGGCTCATCTTGCTAATTCTAAATTCTCTACACATGCAAATGATCCTATTCCATTTTTTAAAAAAGGAGATAAAATGATTCCTGTTTGCTGATCTGGAATCTCTGGTCCAGCAACATCAACCTTCTTATTGTTTTTCCCACAGGGGAGTCCATCTCCTGATTTTGTGCCTTTTCACTGGCAATTAATTGAAAAGGGGACAGAGGGCAGAAGACATCTGAGTGATTTCAGTTGAGAAGGAAGAGAAGACTGAGCTCTTGGTGAATGGCCTCTACTTTTTTTAGTATGAGGCAAGGTCCTCACATGAGAAATAGGGGATATGAGTGCTGCAGGAGACTTTATGAGTGATGTCAAGGTTTGGAATAGGCAGTCTTGAGTAGGATAATGAATTGATTAATGAAGTACTGTTGGAGATACCCCCTACTGAGTAAACTCCAGTGACTTCCTGTTGCCTCCAAGAGCAACTACAGAATGCTCTCTTTGGCATTCAAAGCCTTTCATAACCTAGTCCTCTCCTACCTTTCCATTCTTCTTATACCTTACTCCCCAACATGTTCTCTTTGATCCAGTAACAGTGGTCTCCTGTCCACAAATAAGACACTTCCTTTCTCAGCTCCGGCTGTCCCCCATGCCTGGAATGTAGAGTATAGTGATGAGATGAACTAGTTTACTTAGGGACCAAGATATAAAAGGGAGGAGAATGTAGCTAATTCAAGGTTGCTGGTTTGTGAAAAAACTGAGAAGTAGAGGGATTGGAGGTCATAGTGAGGATGAGGAACAATGTTAAGGGTAGTTATTATAAATCTAAATTCACTCATTAATCTAAAGTTATTCTTCAGATCTATTCAAATGAGAGAACTATTTTCTTTTTATGATTTTAATAAAACATGCTTTCAAATGTATATATCATTTCTCAAAAAAACTTATGACCTGTTAGATTATATTCTCTAGTATTTGAAAACATAGAAATAGTATTTAATAATAATAGTAGTAGCATTTATATAGCATTTTAAGGTTTGGAAAGTACTTTACAAATATTATCTCATTTTCTCTGAGAGGTATGTGCTATTATTATCTCCATTTTACAGATAAGGAAACTGAGGTACATAGAAATTAATGATTTGCTCAGAGTCACATAGCTAGTTAAGTATCTGAGGCTGAATCTGAACTTGGGTCTTCCTGACTCCAGTTGCTTTAACCACTGTGCCACCTAGCATGCCATCACTTCATTTTGTAGCATGCCATCACTTCATTTTGCAGAAAGAAAAGAGGTTTAGATTTTATAATAAT